CTGTGATGGTCCTTGAAAAATTTTCCTGTGATGGTCCTTGAAAAATATTCTTTAAAAAATCCACGCCTATTGCTGTGATGGTCCTTGAAAAATATTCTTTAAAAAATCCACGCCTATTGCTGTGATTTTCCTTGAAAAATAATCTTTAAAAAATCCACGCCTATTGCTGTGATGGTCCTTGAAAAATATTCTTTAAAAAATCCACGCCTATTGCTGTGATGGTCCTTGAAAAATATTCTTTAAAAAATCCACGCCTATTGCTGTGATGGTCCTTGAAAAATATTCTTTAAAAAATCCACGCCTATTGCTGTGATGGTCCTTGAAAAATATTCTTTAAAAAATCCACGCCTATTGCTGTGATGGTCCTTGAAAAATATTCTTTAAAAAATCCACGCCTATTGCTGTGATGGTACTTGAAAAATATTCTTTAAAAAATCCACGCCTATTGCTGTGATGGTCCTTGAAAAATATTCTTTAAAAAATCCACGCCTATTGCTGTGATGGTCCTTGAAAAATATTCTTTAAAAAATCCACGCCTATTGCTGTGATGGTCCTTGAAAAATATTCTTTAAAAAATCCACGCCTATTGCTGTGATGGTCCTTGAAAAATATTCTTTAAAAAATCCACGCCTATTGCTGTGATGGTCCTTGAAAAAATATTCTTTTAAAAATCCACGCCTATTGCTGTGATGATCCTTGAAAAAATATTCTCTACAAAATCCACGCCTATTGCTGTGATGGTCCTTGAAAAAATATTCTTTAAAAAATCCACGCCTATTGCTGTGATTGTCCTTGAAAAAATATTCTTTAAAAAATCCACGCCTATTGCTGTGATGGTCCTTGAAAAAATACGCCTATTCTTTAAAAAATCCACGCCTATTGCTGTGATGGTCCTTGAAAAATATTCTTTAAAAAATCCACGCCTATTGCTGTGATGGTCCTGGAAAAATATTCTTTAAAAAATCCACGCCTATTGCTGTGATGGTCCTTGAAAAATATTCTTTAAATAATCCACGCCTATTGCTGTGATGGTCCTTGAAAAAATTTTCTTTAAAAATCCACGCCTATTGCTGTGATGGTCCTTGAAAAAATTTTCTTTAAAAATCCACGCCTATTGCTGTGATGGTCCTTGAAAAAATTTTCTTTAAAAATCCACGCCTATTGCTGTGATGGTCCTTGAAAAAATTTTCTTTAAAAAATCCACGCCTATTGCTGTGTTGGTCGTTGAAAAATATTCTTTAAAAAATCCACGCCTATTGCTGTGTTGGTCCTTGAAAAATATTCTTTAAAAAATCCACGCCTATTGCTGTGATGGTCCTTGAAAAAATATTCTTTAAAAATCCACGCCTATTGCTGTGATGGTCCTTGAAAAAATATTCTTTAAAAAATCCACGCCTATTGCTGTGATGGTCCTTGAAAAAATATTCTTTAAAAAATCCACGCCTATTGCTGTGATGGTCCTTGAAAAAATTTTCTTTAAAAATCCACGCCTATTGCTGTGATGGTCCTTGAAAAAATTTTCTTTAAAAATCCACGCCTATTGCTGTGATGGTCCTTGAAAAAATTTTCTTTAAAAATCCACGCCTATTGCTGTGATGGTCCTTGAAAAAATTTTCTTTAAAAATCCACGCCTATTGCTGTGATGGTCCTTGAAAAAATATTCTTTAAAAATCCAAGCCTATCGCTCGGATGGTCCTTGAAAATATTCTATAAATATCAACGTCTATTGCCCGGATGGTCCTTGGAAAAATATTATTAAAATATCCACTCCTATTGCTGTGATGGTCCTTGAAAAAATGTTCTTTAAAAATCCACGCCTATTGCTGAGATGGTCCTTGAAAAAATATTCTTTAAAAATCCACGCCTATTGCTGTGATGGTCCTTGAAAAAATTTCTTTAAAAATCCACGCCTATTGCTGTGATGGTCCTTGAAAAAATATTCTTTAAAAATCCACGCCTATTGCTGTGATGGTCCTTGAAAAAATATTCTTTAAAAATCCACGCCTATTGCTGTGATGGTCCTTGAAAAAATATTCTTTAAAAATCCACGCCTATTGCTGTGATGGTCCTTGAAAAAATATTCTTTAAAAATCCACGCCTATTGCTGTGATGGTCCTTGAAAAAATATTCTTTAAAAATCCACGCCTATTGCTGTGATGGTCCTTGAAAAAATTTCTTTAAAAATCCACGCCTATTGCTGTGATGGTCCTTGAAAAAATATTCTTTAAAAATCCACGCCTATTGCTGTGATGGTCCTTGAAAATACATTCTGTAAAAATCCACGCCTATGGCTGTGATGGTCCTTGAAAAAATATTCTTTAAAAATCCACGCCTATGGCTGTGATGGTCCTTGAAAAAATATTCTTTAAAAATCCACGCCTATGGCTGTGATGGTCCTTGAAAAAAATATTGTTTAAAATCCACGCCTATTTCTGTGATGGTCCTTGAAAAAATATTCTTTAAAAACCCACGCTTATTGCTGTGATGGTCCTTGAAAATATATTCTTTAAAAATCCACGCCTATCGCTGTGATGGTCCTTGAAAAAATATTCTTTAAAAATCCAAGCCTATCGCTCGGATGGTCCTTGAAAATATTCTATAAATATCAACGTCTATTGCCCGGATGGTCCTTGGAAAAATATTATTAAAATATCAATGCCCTTTGCTCGGATGATCCTTGAAAAAATGTTCTTTAAATATCCAGGCCCATTGCTCGGATGATCCTTGAAAAAATATTCTTTTAAAATCCACGCCTATTTCTGTGATGGTCCTTGAAAAAATATTCTTTTAAAACCACGCCTATTGCTGTGATGGTCCTTGAAAAAATATTCTTTAAAAATCCACCCCTATTTCTGCGATGGTCCTTGAAAAAATATTCCTTAAATATCCACCCCTATTGTTGTGATGGCCCTTGAAAAAATATTCTTTAAATATCCAGACCAATTGCTCGGATGGTCATTGAAAAAATATTCTTTAAATATCCAGGCCTATTCCTCGGATGACCATTGAAAATATTCTATAAATATCAACGTCTATTGCTCGGATGGTCCTTGGAAAAATATTATTTAAATATTCATGCCCATTGCTCGGATGATCCTTGAAAAAATATTCTTTAAATACACAGGCCTATTGCTCGGATTGTCCTTTAAAAAATATTCCTTAAATATCCAGGCATATTGCTCGGATTGTCCTTTAAGAAATATTCTTTAAATATCCAGACCTATTGTTCGGATGATCCTTAAAAAAATATTCTTTAAATATCCACGCCTATTGCTCGGATGACCCTTGAAAATATTCTATAAATATCAACGTCTATTGCTCGGATGGTCCTTGGAAAATATTCTATAAATATCAACGTCTATTGCTCGGATGGTCCTTGGACAAATATTCTTTAAATTTCCAGGCCCATTGCTCGGATGAGCCTTGAAAAAATATTCTTTAAATACCCAGGCCTATTGCTCGGATTGTCCTTCAAACAATATTATTTAAATATCCATGCCCATTGCTCGGATGATCCTTGCAAAAATATTCTTTAAATATCCAGACCTATTGCTCGGATGGTCCTTTAAAAAATATTCTTTAAATATCCAGGCATATTGCTCGGATGGTCCTTTGAAAAATATTATTTAAATATCCAGGCACATTGCTCGGATGGTCCTTTGAAAAATATTATTTAAATATCCATGCCCATTGCTCGGATGATCCTTGAGAAAATATTCTTTAAATATCCACGCCTATTGCTCGGATGACCCTTGAAAATATTCTATAAATATCAACGTCTATTGCTCGGATGGTCCTTGGAAAAATATTCTATAAATATCAACTTCTATTGCTCGGATGGTCCTTGGAAAAATATTCTATAAATATCAACCTCTATGCTCGGATGGTCCTTGGAAAAATATTCTATAAATATCAACGTCTATTGCTCGGACGGTCCTTGGAAAAATATTCTATAAATATCAACGTCTATTGCTCGGACGGTCCTTCAAAAAATATTCTTTAAAAATCCACGCCTATTGCTCGGACGGTCCTTCAAAAAATATTCTTTAAAAATCCACGCCTATTGCTCGGATGGTCCTTCGCAAAATATTCTTTAAAAATCCACGCCTATTGCTCGGATGGTTCTTCACAAAATATTCTTTAAAAATCCACGCCTATTGCTGTGATGGTCCTTGGAAAAATATTCTTTAAAAATCCACGCCTATTGCTGTGATGGTCCTTGAGAAAATATTCTTTAAAAATCCACGGCTATTGCTGTGATGGTCCTTGAAAAAATATTCTCTAAAAATTCTCGCCTATTGCTGTGATGGTCCTTGAAAAAATATTCTCTAAAAATCCACGCTTTTGCTGTGATGGTCCTTGAAAAAATATTCTTTAAAAATCCACGCCTATTGCTGTGATGGTCCTTGGAAAATATTCTTTAAAAATCCAAGCCTATTGCTATGATGGTCCTTGAGAAAATATTCTTTAAAAACTCACGGCTATTGCTGTGATGGTCATTGAAAAAATATTCTTTAAGAATCCTCGCCTATTGCTCTGAAGCTCCTTGCAAATATATTCTTTAAAAATCCACGCCTATTCCTGTGATGGTCCTTGAAAAAGTATTATTTAAAAATCCACGCCTATTACTGTGATTGTCCTTGAAAAAATTTTTCTTTAAAAATCCACGCCCATTGCTGTGATTGTCCTTGAAAAAATATTCTTTAAAAATCCAGGCCATTGCGAATAAGGGACATCAGAACAGTTTTAAAATAATATTTTTTGACTTGCTTTAGAAACATAAAGCTCTCATTTTTAGCTAAAAAATTAGAGCAATTACCCAGCCCAAGGCGTCTGCAAATAATAGAGTTGCGTGCAACATCGCAATTTTTTGTCTATTAGGGTTAAATTTTTGAATATAAATACCAATTTCAATTGATCTCTATGCCCAGTATTCATTGAGGCCACTACACATCTAAACATTTAAAAATTGGACGGTTATAGCAAAAAAGGACATGAAGACCTTTAAATATATATGGGTTATCTATTTCATTGGTGTAGTACTTGTTGTGGTAAATGCCGAAGACAGTGAATTGACAAAATTAATGAAAGAACATGAGATTATACCCGATGTCCTGGATGAGGCCCCCATGCAGTTTTTAAAGGTATGAAAGGGCACTTTACTTTTTTATTTTATAACTCAATTTCCCTAGGTCACCTATGTTGATGACGTATCGGCTGATAGAGGCATAGAATTGACTCCCACTCAAGTAAAGGACCCACCGAATGTCGAATGGGAGCCAGAGACAGATGACACATACTATACTTTGTTGTTGACAAATCCTGATGTTCCATCTCGTGAAAATCCTGCCTGGCGTGATTGGGTTCATTGGCTAGTGGTCAATATTCCTGGTAATCAAATAGATAATGGGGAGGTTTTAGATGATTATATTGGTGCTGGTGGCCGACCAGGTACCGGTTTACATCGCTATATCATATTACTATTTAAACAACCCGGCAAATTGGAATTTGATGAACAACGTCATGGTAAAACCGAAGCTGCTGGTCGTGAAAATTTATACACTAGACAATTTATGGAAAAATATCAATTGGGCACTCCAGTGGCCGGTAATGTTTTCCTATCGCAATACGATGATTATGTACCTATTCTATACAAACAATTGGATATTCCAATGAAATGGTCGTGAAAAGAAGACAAATCTCGCAGTTGTTATTTAAATTATATAGTACACCTTTTCACCAATAATAAATAATATGTATATCAAGATGCACAAAAGCAGAATTGTATGTTTATGCTGATTTTTTATTTCCTTAGAATCTACCAAATTCCCAAACCCAAATTAGGAATGTTTGTAAATGAATATATGATTTGCTTATGAGTCTGTAGTGCAGATTATTCCCCGTAATCTCACCCAAACATATCACATATGACGTTAAAAACACTAATTTATTATAGAATATAAACATTCAACAAGACAAATCTCTTATCTTAAGTGGCCTGTATAAAATTAGATCCCTGTTTAACTAATTTTTCTCTTTTTTACACATGAGACCACAGCAAGGCATTAACCATTTTTATACCCTTCACCACTCTGTGGTACAGGGTATTATGTCTTTGTGCATATGTTTGTAACAGGCAAAAGGAAGCGAGATAGACACATGGTTCCTTTTGAGAATATGCATAGAATCACTTTCTGAATCGATTTATGCATGTCCGTCCGTCCGTCCGTCTGTCCGTCTGTAGATGTTAAATTGTAAACAAAGTACAGGTCGCATTTATGATCCGAATGGGATGAAATTTGGCATAGGTCACTTATTCGGCCCAAGGACGAACCCTATTGAAATTGGGAAAAATCGGTTCAGATTTAGATATAGCTCCCATATATATATTTAACCGATTTAATGTAAACGGTCCCTATATATCTTTCGATTTGCACGAAATTTGGTACAGCCTATTCATTTAGGTCTAGAATGATGTCTGCCAAGTTTCGTGAAAATCGGTCCAGATTTAGATATAGCTCCCATATATAGTTTCGTCCGATTTCATGTAAATGGTGCCCCAAAGTCCCTATATATCCCTCGATTTGCACGAAACTTGGCATAACGTACTGAATTGAGCCTAGAGTGATGTCTGCCAAGTTTCGAGAAAATCGGTCCAGATTTAGATATAGCTCCCATATATAGTTTCGTCCGATTTCATGTAAATGGTGCACCAAAGTCCCTATATATCCTTCGATTTGCACGAAATTTGGCATAACGTACTGAGTTGAGCCTAGAATGATGTCTGCGAAGTTTCGAGAAAATCGGTCCAGATTTCTATATAGCTCGCACATATATAGATTCGTCCGATTTCATGTAATGGTGCCCCAAAGTCCCTATATATCTTTAGATTTGCACGAAATTTGGCATAACGTACTGAATTAAGCCTAGAGTGATGTCTGCCAAGTTTCGAGAAAATCGGTCCAGATTTAGATATAGCTCCCATATATAGTTTCGTCCGATTTCATGTAAATGGTGCACCAAAGTCCCTATATATCTTTCAATTTGCACGAAATTTGGCACAACGTACTGAATTGAGCTTAGAATGATGTCTGCCAAATTTCGAGAAAATCGGTCCAGATTTAGATATAGCTCCCATATATAGTTTCGTCCGATTTCATGTAATGGTGCACCAAAGTCCCTATATATCTTTTCATTTGCACCAAATTTGGCATAACGTACCGAATTGAGCCTAGAGTGATGTCTGCCAAGTTTCGAGAAAATCGGTCTAGGTTTAGATATAGCTCCCATATATAGTTTCGTCCGATTTCATGTAAACGGTGCACCAAAGTCCCTTTATATCCTTCGACTTGCACGAAATTTGGCATAATGTACTGAATTAAGCCTAGAGTGATGTCTGCCAAGTTTCGAGAAAATCGGTCCAGATTTAGATATAGCTCCCATATATAGTTTCGTCCGATTTCATGTAAATGGTGCACCAAAGTCCCTATATATCCTTCGATTCCCACGAAATTTGGCATAACGTACTGAATTGAGCCTAGAGTGATGTCTGCGAAGTTTCGAGAAAATCGGTCCAATTTCTATATAGCTCGCACATATATAGCTCACATATGTTAAGTAATTGACGCACCAAGGAACCAATAGGAACAAAACGTTCTGAAATTAGTATAACCTAACCTATGACAAGTTTGCTTGAAATCGCTTAATATTTGGATGGAGCTTCCATATATATTTTCGCATCAAACTCCTCATGTTAGTCAGATTCACATCAAATTTTGCACAACGTACAAAATTGAGCATAGAATTACGTTTCTAGAAGTACATACATAGCCCAACGTATGACCTATGACCTATCTAGGTAGATTCACATTTAGATAATTATCACATATATTATTTCATCCAATTTCATGTTAATAGTCCTGTTTAATATACCCATAGTGGTGAAGGGTATCATATAGTCGGCCCCGTCCGACTTTGCTACTTTCCTTACTGGTTATCATATGAAAACCATGTTTGCTACAAGACAAAACCATTTTGTTCACTTATTTTTTTAAATATAAATCATATAGTCGTTCGGTCTATTGAAAATTCCAACATGCAAAAAATATGATCTGGAATAATTTTTTCACAACTTATAATAAAATAATGAATGTAATTGCATCACATTTATCACACAAAAATATAATCTAAAATAAATTATCGAATTTGTTTTTCTGCCAATATTAATGTCGTGTCTCAAATCACATTTGTAAGATATTTATCGATTTTTAGCTATTTGCATTCCTATAATTATTTATAAATACTCTACAATTTGCAAGCAAAATTATTAAACAAATAATATATTTAATATTAATGCAACTTGTAAAAAATTTGTTCATTCATGCATATATTTATAATGCATACATATATATTGTATAGCATGCAATCACACGTTCTATGACAATATAAATAGTCATTACACAGAAAACGATTGATGTGTAACGAGCTTAGAACTGCTTTTTAAAAGAACACCAAACATGGGAATACCACTGCAAGAAGACAACAGTGAATATATATAATTATAATATATATAATATAAACTTTTTTTATTGTTTTATCTTCTTCTCCAAGCTTCATCATAAGACAAAGTTTTATTCAGAAATATTTAAATATTAATGAAATATTTATGTTTTCAATTATATTTTGAAGAAGAAATCTCTAGGTCATTCAAGTGAAATAAGTGAATATGTTCGTAAAGGTTTTTGGTGCAAAATGCCAGATTGGGGTTTTCAGAATTGTATGCGTTTCTGATGAATTGTACCGCGTCATAGCATTCGAAGAAGACAGTGAGCCAAATCTTCACATTTGATCGAACTTTATGTGCAATTTTCGGCTTTCTTTATCTTGATTTTACCACAATAATCACAGTAAACATTTCAAATGTCTTTACGAATATAATTTCATATTTTACACCAAATTTGAATACAGTTTCTTTAATCCATTGTTATACCCTTCGCCACAAGGTGGGGTGTATATTAAATTTTCCATTGCGTTTTCTATACCTAGAAATATTCACTTGAGGCCCCATGTCACAGAAAAAATACTTCGTATATTAAATGAATAGTGTTCCGAAAGTGTTGGCAATGCCCGCATTTCTGCATTTTATGAATGCAATTCATAAAACTTTACATACTGTGTTCTTGTGAGAGAGAGAGCGAAAAAATACTTTAGAGTTGTTTTTGGTGGTGGTTGCGGATTTTCTATGGCACAGAAATTTAATTTATTTACTTACAGAAATTATTTAAAACCCAATACCGACCATAATTAAAATTTTAGTACCTACGTTCTCTAAATTTGGTATCATTTATTATCTATTGCTCTCTTGTAATATTTATTTCCAAAAATATTTCCAAATTTCAAAATTGTCAAATATTCACCCAAGCCAAATTTAGTATCAGTTAGTACACATTAATATACATTTCCATATCTACCTACATTAACAGTCATAAGTACCAATTTCTAAAACTTCCTACATACCCCAATCTTAATACCAAATTTCAGGATTCCAACTCTATCGGATCACCTAAATCCAAATAGAATCAAATTTAGTACTTCTTAGCACATAAATACAAATTGCCATTACTACCTACATCGTATAATTCAGCAGAAAACTTATTTTCTAATTTCAAGATTACTGACCTATTTGTTTACCCTAAATCGAAATTGTACCAAATTTAATACCATTTATTACACATAAGTACGAATTTCCAAAACTATTTACATACCTCAATTTTACACTCTAACAGTAATATTAATTCCATTTATTTAGGATTCCCGCTCTATCGGTTCACCTAAATCAAATTTAGTACTTTAGTACTTTTCGTAGACATAAGTATTCAAATTTAGTACTTTTTGTACACATAGGTATTCAAATTTAGTACTTTTCGTACACATAAGTATTTAAATTTAGTATCACATAAGTACCAATTCACAAAACTACCTACATACCCAATTCTACACACCAATAGCAATATTAATTTCAATATTTAGTATTCCAGCTTTAACCCCAAACTGGATCAAATTTAGTATCATTTAGTACCTTTAAGTACAATTTTTCAAAACTACATTCGTACACATTAGTACACCCCAACAGTGATCCTAACTCCAAATTTCAGCTCTTTTGATTCAGCTCCAGCTCTATTGATTTACCCGAAATTCAAATTGTACAAAATTTAGTACACATAAGTACGAATTTGCCAAACTACCAGCATACCTCTATTCTATAATGCAGCAGTAATCTTATTTCCAAATTTCAATGTTTCAGATTTATCGGTTCACCCAAATCTAAATTGTACCAAATATAAGGGTACAATATTTGGTACAATCCAGAACTAGCAATAATGTCATTTCAAATTTTAGGATTCCTGCACCATCAGCTTCTCCAAATTCAGATTGTACCAAATTTAGTACAGTTTAGTACTCTTCGTTCACACTTTCAGTGGTCCTTAATTTAAATACAAATGGTACCACATTTAGTACTTTTCGTGCCGTTTTAGTCCGAATTTCCAAAACCCCAACCTTATCTGACAACTTTGGACCGAGAGTAAAAATGTCAGAAATACAGAAACAATGAAATGCAAAACTAGTCACAACCGAGTGAATGGAGGGAATGCCGTTGTAAAAAAGAGAAACAGTGGACAATCAGCCG